GGTGAGGAAAGGGGATGAGAGGGCCGGGGCTGCAGGGCCGCCGGGAGGGGCGGAGGGAGGGAGGGAGGAGCGGCCGTGACGTGCAAGTAACTGCGCCCCTGTCGGGCGTGTTGTGTCCCCGGCCGGAGCCCACTCTGTTGCTTCCCGGCGCGCATTCGTGAAACAGGGGCGCGACGAGCGCCTCTGCCCTGCCTGCGCTCCTGCCAGGACTCCGCGTGAATCTCCCGCGTCTTGCCTCGGCCCGGCCAGCCTCTGGACGCTCTGTGGACCCGGGGGCTGCAGAGGACGTGGGGATCCGGTGCGCCGTGGCAGTCGCCCTTGGGCCCGGCCGCTACTGCTGGCTCCAAGCGCAGACCCGGAGCTCGAGGACACAGGTGTCCAGTTTCCTTTGACCTTGAAGACCTGGGAAGGTGCGCAGCTCGCGGGGGTGGGAAGTATGTCGGGGAAGCCGACCCTGTTTCCGCGGTCAACCTGAGAGGTCTCCAGAAGGGACGATTTTCAGTTGCAGTAGACGGCAAAGCAGTTAGACCAGGTTCTCCCTAACCGAGTAGTGAACAGGTTCACGAACGTGGAGCGATTCCCAGTGTCCCGCAGGTCAAGGGCAGCGTTGCCTCTATTCCAGACGTTGCTTTGCTTACAGGCTTCGGCTTGTTCACATACCTTATCTATTCTGAAGATCTCACCACAAACCTCTGGGCTTCCTGCAGTTTTCATCTCCACTGCTCACGTCCACACCATTGGCAAAGAACTCTTTTAAAACGCACTGTCAGGTCACTTCCCTACTTAAAATCTTTCTGTGATTCACATGCTCTCTGGGTCAAGTCCAGACTTTGATAAGCAAGGCTTTTGGAGATCTAGCCTTTTGCCCTTCGATCCAGCTTCAAACTTTGTGGGTTCTTTTCTGGATTCATTCTGATGCCCCATTTCTCTTGATCTACTTTCATTACACAGTGGCTTATTAAGCACTCCCCATGTGCCACGCACTGTTCTGGGCAGTTGGGATTCAGCAGAGGGAAACAAACTCAGGTGAAGATTTCTACCCTTGTGGAGTTTATATTCTGTTAGGGGAGACAATCCAAAAAAAGAAAAAGAAAAACCCGGTAAATTGGTAGGTTAGAAGTGCTATGGAGGAAAAAAGTAGAGCAGAGTAAGGGGAGATTGGGAGGGCAAGATGCTTATTAAATAAAATTGGGATGAGTGCACAGCATTGAGGTGACATTTGAGTTCAGAGTTGAAGAAAATGAGTTATCTGTGCAATTACCTGGCAGGAGAGATTTCTAGGTGCAGCTGGAACAAAGACCTTACCCAGAAATGTTCCTGTTGTATGTGAGGAGCATCAGGAAAGCCAGCGTGGCTAGACCTGAGAGAGCAGAGGTTGAGAGTCGCAAGAGATGGGGGAATGGGGGACCAGATCACATACAGCCTCTAACCTTTTCTCAGTGCTTTTGTAGGAGTGATACAGTATAAATTACTTTTTGAAAGACTCACTGCTATGTGGAAAATAGACTCTAATGGAGCCTTTGTAGTATTGCTATCATCATCTGTCATGATGGTTTAAATCTGTGGTAGCAATGGAAGTGGTGAGAAGTGATGGGATACTGGACATGTTTTGAAGATACAGCCAACATAATTTCCTGATATTGGATATGGGTATGAGGGGGAGTCAAGAATGACTAGAAACTTTTGTTCTCAGCACCTACAGGGGTGGAGTTATCATTCGCTGAGATGGGGAAGGCTACAGTTGGAACAGATTTAGGGTTGGGGACATGTCAGGAGTTTGTTTTGGGACCAATAAGGCTTGAAGTACCTGTTACACACCTAAGTGGAGCTATCAGGCATTTGGATATTGTGTCAGGGGTCGCCAAGACCGCCCCTAGGTGCATTGATTGCCTAGGAAGATTCAACAGGACTTGGCTCTGGCTCATGGCTATGATTTATCACAGCAAAAAGATAGCACAGTCAGCAAAGGGAGAAGACTCATAGGACAAAGTGTGCAGGAAACCAGGTGGTCTTCCAAGAGTCCTCTCCCAGTGGGCTCACATAGGACATGCTTAAGTCCCCAGCAACAAATTGTAACAACATATGTGAAATTTTGTCTATCAGGGACGCTCATTAGAACCTCTGCCCAGGGTGTTGATTGGCTTTAGTCACATGGGCACTGTCTGCCTAGCATGTACCAAAATTCAAGACTCCCAGAAGGAAAGCAGGTACTCAGCATAAGAAATTGTACAAACAGTTTAGACCCAGTGAGCGACTCCTGTCAATTCTGAGAATGGTGAGAATCCTGAAATCCAAGTTTCCAGATGCCAGCCAAAGGTCCACCTTGCAAGCAGGCCTTTCTAAGGATAGACTCAAGCCTGCTATATTAACTCCTCTGCACAGATCTACATGTCTGGAATTTGGGAGAAAGATCTGGAATGGGGATATAGCTTGGGGAGTAGTTGGCATGTAGGCAATATTTAAAGCCATGGAAGTGTTTGGTGTCTTGATACGCATTTGTCAAAGCTGACCGATAGAGCTGAGCTGGATAAAGTAAATGTAGAAGAGAAGCAGGCCAAAAATTGAGCCCTGGGGACCTCCAACATTAAGACATCTGGGAGAAGGGAAGAAACAGCAGGTAAGGTGGGAGGAAAACCAAGAGGAAGGTGTCCTGGAAGCCAAGTGAAGAAGAGGGGAGTGATCAGTTGTCTCAGATGCTGCTGAGAAGTCAAACGAGTTGAGGACTAACAAATGATCTTTTGCATTTGGAAAATGAGAGGCATTAAGGTGAGTATAGACAACCCTTTTTGAGGAGTTTTGTTGTAGAGAGGAACAAGAGAAGTTGTAGCTGGGGGCTAGTGGGATTAAGAGAAGGCTGGTTGGTTATTCAGTGAGAGAAATAACAGCATGCTAATGAGAGTGGTCCATTAGAAAGTGAAAAATTATAGTTGTAACTTGCTGTTTCCCCCAAAGTTCTGTGTCAGGCCACCTTTGCCATTAGAACTCTTCTCCGGCATCCCTGCTCTGGCTTTAGTCTGTGCAGGGTCCAGCCTCCGTTGGACCTGGGCTTTCACTCAAGTTCTCTGACAGTTTACCTGCCCACATTCCACTTGAATAGCAGTTTCTTGAGGACAAGAACTGTTTGCTTTATAAGCAGGCCTAGTCTATCTGGCTATTTGGCATATGCAGGCAAATGAGTGCATGAGGGGTGGATGTGATAATGGGTAGGATGCTCCCTTCATTTCTGGAAAATGAATCTGCAAGTATTCACTGGTTTTTTGTGTGTGCCGAGCTGATTGGGGATGGGAATGAGGAATGAGGCACGGTTCCTGCCCTGTCACTACCCTTAGAGTTTGGGAGATAAGAATAGTACGGAAGGGGCGCCTGGGTGGCTCAGTCGGTTAAGCGGCTGCCTTCGGCTCTGGTCATGATCCCAGGGTCCTGGGATCCAGCCCCGCATCAGGCTCCCTGCTCGGTGGGAAGCCTGCTTCTCCCTCTCCCACTCCCCTGCTTGTGTTCCTGCTCTCGCTATCTCTCTCTCTGTCAAATAAATATATAAAATCTTTAAAAAAAAAAAAAAAGAATAGTACGGAAGACACAGTATTGGTGCAACATGAGTTTGGGAAAGGGCAGGGGAGGGCAGAGAGGGAGAGTGCGTCTTGTGTGGAGCCTGGAAGATGGAGAAGCCATGCTAAAAGGACAGACACTTTTCTTTCCAGTGGTAGAATCCTTTCTTCAGGTGGAATATAAGGAAACCCAGTATTTTCCAGCACTGCTGTTCTAGTCGAAGAGGGGTTAGGGCCTGGTTAGCCCTCTCCTCCCACCAGTTTGAAAGCTCTGTGGTAGAACTTGAGTTCTCAGACTCTACCCTGTGGCCCTAGTGCCCACTGCTACAAATGGTCATCCTCTCCAGCAAAAATTAGGTTAACGTGTTTTCTCAATTTTATGTTCATAAATTTTATCTAAACTTCAGCACGTACCAGCGTTTGCTAGAGAGTGAAGCAGATCACAAAGAGGGAGTAGCTAATAAACACAAAGGTAATGCTTGGCTTGACATTTTGGCTATGTTAATTGTTTTTCTATGAATATTATTTTAATAGTTATCCTGTGCTAATAAAAGTTTCCTAGTGTAGGTAAATGTAATGTATTTGTGATATATACAAAGAGCACCATCATATCCAGGCATTCCTCATAAAAGGTAACAGTGTGCTATAATGGCAGGAAATGGCGGGGAGGAATGTGGGAGTCCAGAGACTGACAGAGAGGACTTCCCTCCCCCAGGATGTCTCCTCTTTGGATTTCTTCTAAGTCAGGCCAACAGTTCTTCCTACTCCTCTGCTCCTGAAACTATCCATTCTCTCAGGTATTGCAGTCGGTGAAAGTTGGTTTTTGTTCAAGAGAAAATGAGACATAAATTTCATGGGGTAGTAGAAAGAACAGTGGACTTGGAGTCAGAAGACTGATGGACAGTTCAGCATGGTGGTAAAGAGCCTTGACTTAGCCAGGGAGCCTAGGTTTGAATCCACTTAGTATTTATGTGACCGTGTCACTGAGATGGGCTGGTTGAAAGGAATAAATGAATTAATAGGTAGAGCGGGGCCTGACCCATAGTAAACAATGAGCGTTAAGAAGACTTGTCATTGGAATCCTGGCTGTGTTATTTACTAGCTGTATGACCTAGCAGATTGTTAAATTGCTCCAAGTCTCATTTGTGCTCATCTGTAAAATGAGGGCCCTGTAGAAAGTTATCCCTGAGAGGCTGCCCTTTTCATCTCTGCACACACATACGGCTCTGGGAGTATTGTTAATTGGGGGGAATGTGCAGCCAGGTTCTCAGCTCTCAGGCATACATACAGCCTTTGGCATTATACCTGATAGCAAAACAAACTTTGCTGAAGTCACTTAGGCCAGTGTTTTCTAACTTTTTTTTTACTGTTATCTTTAGTAAATACATTTTCCATGGTGACCCAGTGTATGTGTATGTATATTTACATATGTGTATTGTAATGAAAGTTTCATAAAGCAGTATTTACTCTTACTGTATGTGATGTACTGTAATATTTTCTATTTGTACTCTTCAGTTTTAGTTCTTTCTTAAAAAATATTTTTTTAATTTATTTGTTTGACAGAGAGCAAGAGAGAAAGCATGAGATAGTACAAGCAGGGGGAGCAGCAGAGGGAGAGGGAGAAGCAGGCTGCCCACTGAGCAGGGAACATGACACGGGGTGGGGGTGGAGCGATTCCAGGACCCTGAAATCATGACCTGTGAAGACTCTAAGGCAGACGCTTCACCGACTGAGCCACCCAGGCACCCCCAGTTTTAGTTCTTAAAAAGTACAAATTTTAGGGGCGCCTGGGTGGCTCAGTCGTTAAGCGTCTGCCTTCGGCTCAGGTCATGATCCCAGGGTCCTGGGATCGAGCCCCGCGTCGGGCTCCCTGCTCCGCGGGAAGCCTGCTTCTCCCTCTCCCACTCCCCCTGCTTGTGTTCCCTCTCTTGCTGTGTCTCTGTCTGTCAAATAAATAAATAAAATCTTTAAAAAAAAAAAAAAGTACAAATTTTATAATGGCTCATGACCTACAATTTGAAAAACACCTAAAGATACGCAAATTATCATCATTAATGCCAATCTTTATCTTCTGTATTACAAGAGCATCTTATTAACTAATCTGGTCTAGGCCCAACAGTAAGTGGTGATTTCAGCCAGGGCTGTGTTGGCCCATAACTTGGACATCACCTGGGTAAATGCTACTCAGTCTAGAACTTAGGACCAACACAGAATTTCTGAGGCTGATAGTAGAGAGCTCTGGCCACTTACGGTTAACCTTCCTGTGTGTTTTGGGTGTGTGGGAAGGTATGAAAAGCTCTGCTTATGAAAGAATTACTTGTCTTCAAGTTTTACACCATGGAGAATATATGTTAAAATGTTAACAGTGGTTGTCATAGAGTGGATATGGGTGGTTTGAATTTTCTTTATATTCTTTTCAAATTTTCTACCGCAAAAATATGTTTCACATATAATCATTGAAATCTTCTTTCTCTTAAATTATGGTAATAAGAGCAGCAATTGGGCGCCTGGGTGGCTCAA